ATGGATGTGATCAACTGGCACCCTGTTAGGTATCCATTCCTACCTCCCAGCTGAACTGAAGGTGTTGGAAAGATAAAAATGGCTCCCTTGGAAATTAGGTTCTACCAGTTTGATGCCTTCTTGCAGAATCTAGAAGGCGGTACAAAGGTGGAAGCCACCTTCCTCCTGCTGTTTCTGTGATCTGGCAAAGCCTCAGAAACGTGAGCTCCAACAGCAGGACTAAGGATTCCAGTGTCTGGTCACTGCTCTCAGTTTTCTAGAGGCAACCAAGGCAGCTACAGCGGCTGAGTTCAGCCTAGTTTCTGGCCATCTGGTTGGTGAGTGCTGAGAAGTGGGAGGCAGAAGACGGAGATCTGGTAGTGGTGCCAGACACTGAGCATAGCAATGATCTTTGTGCTCCCCAAGCTCCTCCAACGCTTTGTAAGCACCACATTCCCTGTATAAAATTCCATTGTGCTTAAAATACCTAGAATAGATTCTATTTTCTCCTCTAATGAACAGCATTTAACAATGCTAAACCAGTTTCTTTGATGTGAACGCATTTAGGAACCTTTATAATTATTTTGGAGCTTCAAGATTTAATGGCTGCCCTGATGGGTTTTGGACTCACATGGGGCCAGCCTGTGGCCCCTTTCTTTTGGTCAATTTCTCCCTTTTTGAATGGAAGTATTTACCCAATCTCATTGTTTCTTGGAAGTAACTAACTTGTTTTTTACTTTACAGGCTCCTAGATGGAAGGGACTTGCCTTGTCTTAGATGGGACTTGGGACTCTGAACTTGTGAGTTAATGCTGGAATAAGTTAAGACTTTGGGGGACTGTTGGGAAGTCATGATTATATTTTGAAATGTGAGAGGGACATGAGATTTGGGAGGGACCAAGGGCAGACTGATATGATTCGGATCTGTATTTCTGCCCAAATCTCATGTTAAATTGTAATCCCCAGTATTGGAGGTGGGACCTGGTAGGAGGTTACTGGATCATGGGAGTGGATCCTTCATGAATGGTTTAGCACCATCCCTTTGGTGCCGTTCTAGTGGTAGGAGTTCTGACGAGATCTGATCATTTAAAAGTGTGTGACACCTCCCCACTCTCTTCCTTAGTCCTGCTCTGGCCATGTAAGACGTGTCTGCTTTCCCCTCTTCTCCCACCATGACTGTAAGTTTCCTGAGGCCTCCCTGGACGCAGAAGCCACTATGCTTCCTGTACAATCTGCAGAACTGTGAGGCAATTAAACCTCTTTTCTTTATGAATTAAAACAAGGAAACTTTATATACAATTGCATTGAGGAAGGGCAGAGGACTTGGCATAAACTGCTTAAGGAATCCCTTTTTTCCTCATCAGAGAATCTCTCGGGACTGCTGTTTTATGGAACACTTTATAAAATGCAACAGAGAGGATCACCTTGGTTTTTTTTCACTCAATGATATAACAGATTTCTATATAACAAAAATTTTAAATTAGAGTCTCTTTAGAGTTTTTTTTTTTAATTTCTCTACAAGAGATCTCTCTCTCTCTTCCTCTCCCTTTCTCTCATATGTTGGAGTACAATTTAATTTTTAAATTTACATACACTAAAAGTTACTCTTTTCGGTTTACAATTCAATGAGTTTCAACAAATGCTCAGAGTTAGGTCAAAACCACAGCAATCAGTTGCATAATACCCCCCAAAACTCCTTCATGTAGGAGGAAGGACCAAGCCCTCCTACCACCCCAATTCCTGGCAACCCCTGGTCTCCACATCACTATGGCTTTGCCTTTCCCAGAAGTCACAGAAAGTAAACAGTATTTAGCCATTTGAGTTGGCTTCTTCCATTTAGAATAATTTATAGGGGAACCATCAACATGTTGCATGCAACAGTTCAGTCTTTATTACTGCTGAGTAGTAACTATTGAATGGATGTACCGTAGTTTGTTTATCCTTTTACCAGTTGAAGGACATCAGGTTGTTTCCAGGTTTTAGAGAATAGGAATAAAGCTGCTACATCAATAAAAATTACATAATATTAGATAGCTGAATATCATTCCATATCTTGATATACCATTCAATTGGATAAATCCTTACTGTTGTATATTAGATCATTTCCAATGTTGTACTATTTTAAATAACACTGTAACTTCATTTAAGTGTCTGTATGTATTTGTTCCATTATTCTTTAGGACAAGTTCTTAGAAAAATTCCTGGGTCAAGAGGTATGCATCACACATTTTACTACTTTTGATACATATTGCATTTAAATGTCCCTTAATGACAATCTCCCTTTACTCACAGGCCCTCATCAACCTTGACTGTTATTCTTTTTTTTAAAAACCAATCTCACAGGCAAAAATTTAAACATGGTATCTCACTTTTATTTGTATTTATTTTTTTCCTTCATATCTCTATACATACATGTGGAATTGTTTCCTTATATTTATTGGGCATTTTTATTTCTTCTTTTAGGAATTACCTGTTCTTGTCCATTGTCATGCTGGACTTTTGTTTATTGATTCACTGTATTAATCCTTTGTCTATCACCTATTACGTTTATGGTTTTCAAGATGACTTTCAATTTTTTTATGGGCAGAGATTTCTTTAAAAATGTATGTAGTCATCTCTTCTAATCTTTTCTTTTGTGGATTACACATTTAATATCATGCCTAGAAAGGGCTTTTTCTATTTTACATTTATATACATAGTCACTCATATTTCCTAATTTTTCCAAATGGTTTTGGAAACAGCATGAAGAATACAGGAGGCTTCCTGGCTGAGGCACACAGTTCCCTGATACATTGGATTTGTTTCTGCCTTCATGGCTTTGAGCTGCTGTGCTGTCATTAAATACTTAAGATTCTTCTTTTCTAAGGAGTTCATTTGCCTTTTGAAGAAGGTGAATTCTTTATTGAACTAGGTTGACATTTTATCTTATAACTTGATTTAGAAATAAGACTTTATTCTCAGGTTTCAGTGGTTAGCTAAGGAATTATAGTAAATCATTTCATTTCTCTTTCTGTTTATTCCACTATTGGGACAGACTAACAATAACTTAGAGGCTTACAAATAAAAATAAAGTGCAAGCATATGCCAATATTTTCCTAAATGTCATAACAATGATCTTGCTGGCAGAAATTTGCATTTATATTTTCCCAAGGGGCCAAAGAAACAATTTTTTATTCTATTTTATTTTTTATTTTTATTTTCTTTGGAGACAGAGTCTCTCTCTATTCCCCAGGCAGGAGTGCAGTGGCGCAATCTCGGCTCACTGCAACCTCTGCCTCCTGGGTTCAAGCAATTCTCATGCCTCATCCTCCGAGTAGCTGGGATTACAGGCACCTGCTACCATGCCTGGCTAATTTTTGCATTTTTAGTAGAGACAGGGTTTTACCATGTTGGTCAGGCTGGTCTCAAACTCCTGACCTCAGGTGATCCACCTGTCTTGGCCTCCCAAAGTGTTGGGATTACAGGCGTGAGCCACTGTGCCTGGCTGAAACAATTTTTTAAAACAATGATGTAAACATCCTTCCTTGGCCTTTCAGCTAAAATAGAGTATATTACCTATTCTTATCATTTAATTAAAAAGTGATGCAAATAAATGGGAAGTTCAGATTCGTTTTACAAAAGGTGACTTCACAAATTTTGAAGACAGTGCTTTTTGCATTAAGAGAGGCATACAATTACAAGGTATGGAAAAACTTCACCCTTCAATGAAAGTACCTGTAACACACTATATAATCCCAAAGGCAAGCACCTAATAAAAGAAAGAAGCAAATGGAGCCTAGCTCCTATGGAAGATTTCATCAACCCCTTAGTCTTAAGTAGAAACTGGAACTCACCTAGAAACACAAATACAACATGCAGTAGTGTTGGCTCTCAAATCCGTGCTGCCCCTAACTGTGGCCACTTCTTATTTATTTGGGAAAAGTGGATGAATTCTCAGTACCACCCAGACTTTAAGCCTTTATCGAGCTCCCAGCTGAGCATGCTAGGATTTAAATGGCACTTCTGGCTCCTCTGAGATAAACCGGCCACTTCCCAATGGACCATCACTGAAGCCAGAGTCCTAGCCCATTCGGCTGCCTGGCCATTAGCTACAGGGAGGTCCCCAATTCCCCTCCCAGTCAGGCTAATTGTCAGTTAATTGTAGGCTCCTCCACGTCTGACCACACACCATGCTGAAGCAGCCTCTGAGGTGCCAGGCTGCAGAGTGTCAGGGGCCAGCTGGTTTCTCCACTGCGGCAGAAAGGCTGCGAGTGGCTTCTGGTCTGAGGCAGATGGACCCAGTGCCTGCTCCAGCTCTTTCGACTGTGGCTCTCTGCCACGCAGGGGCCTCTGACACCTCCACATCACTCTGGTGCCTGACCAACTTCTGTCTTTGTCCATCTCCTGTGGTCAGCACTCAGGGCTCATCCAGCTCCCATCCTAGACTTCCAGCCCTTCCAGCAGCTAATAGCTGATTCATCCCATACTTGTAAAAGAGATGAAAACGGTACCCCCACTTTCGTTTCTGTTTTTGTTTTTTTGTTTTTTTTTTGAGACAGAGTCTCACTCTGACTCCCAAAATGCTGGGCCACTGTGCCCAAAGGCTTGAGCCACTGCGTCCCACTGGAGGTTGTTGAACAGTGTTGGGAAAGATTTAAAAAAGTAATTTGCGAACCGGGCTCGGTGGCTCACCCCTATAATCCCAGCACTTTAGGAGTCGGAGGCGGGCGGATCACGAGGTTAGGAGTTCAAGACCAGCCTGACCAACATGGTGAAACCCCGTCTCTACTAAAAATACAAAAATTAGCCAGGCATGGTGGCGGGTGCCTGTAATTCCAGCTACTAGGGAGGCTGAGGCAGGAGAATCGCTTGAGCCCGGGAGGCAGAGGTTGCAGTGAGCTGAGATCGCACCACCGCACTCCAGCCTGGGTGACAGGGTGAGACTCTGTCTAAAAAAAAAAAAAAAGAAAAAGGTAATTTGCGGTCTGAGTCTCCGCCCCCAAGACCCGCGGAGTGCGGCTTCCCCGGCCGGCGAACTGCGCGATGGGCTGCGGGAACTCCCGGGCAGAGGCCCTGCAGGAGCAGCCAAAGATGTAACAGAAGAATCCATAACAGAAGATGACAAGAGGAGAAACTAAGGAGGAGTATATGTTGGCCTACCATCTGAGGCTGTCAATATGGTGTCCAGTCAAACAAAGACGGTTCGGAAAAATTAGAAGAAAATAACATCATGACTCAAGAATCAAGAGCATGCTCATCAATTTGGAAGGAATTTGGCTCTGTGGGACATTGTACTGTGCACAGACATTTCCAAGGAAATTCTAAACAGTCACCCTTCCCTCTTGCATTTCCCCAAATCTTAAGCGTATACATAAAACCCTGGGTACATATTGTTGTGGTAATAGAAGGGAATTGGTTAAACAGTACACTTTATGGAACTTTCTGTGGCCACCTACGAAAGACAAGTTAACAAACTGTCATGGAGGCTGCTGTTGCCTAGCCAGGGCTGCTGCATTTTGACATTTCCACCGTGGCCACTCAACACATTTCATGGAGGTCATGTCTTTTCACTGACGCTTTTTGATAGTTTTTATATAACAAAATCCTTATTCTATTTATAACTTAAGATGATAAGGCACTATAAATGAATGACCTAAAATAATATATTTGTCTGTTATCTTTCGCTATTTCTACTTCACTTTAATTTTTAGCTGTAAAATTGGTAAATGGATTCTTACAACTCTCTCTTTCTGTTTTTCACTGTTTGGTTTTCAAATTTCATTTAAATGTCAGAATTTCCTTTTTAGGAACAATGTGTATTTCATTGCAATATTTAAAAATAAACTCAAATTTGCATGCCATATGCACACACACACACAAAAAGTAATTTGCCTACGTTTGTTGTTAGTAATACATACAAAAGTTCTTGCTGGAAATTGTGCTAAGGCCTAATTTTGATTCAACTAATACAGACGCATAAAATGCCTTCAATTTCCCTTTACATCATCCCAACAATGGGTATCTGAACTTCTCCTTTGGTGGTTAAATAATAATGATTTATTTTGTCTTTTAAAAAAATTAAAACCAAGAGGGAGTGAATGTTTTACCATGAGTATTTATTACTTTTGAAACTAGAAATAATTCTCTATTTTTACAAAAGGGTAAACATATTTCTCTCCAGGGTAAAGAGAAAACAATGGGCATAATAACATAGTGACTGATGCTCAGAAACATAACTAAATTATCATTTTATCTCAGTAACCCAACAGGGTGTAACAGGAAGTAAGGCTTGGTAGGGTGTAATTTGTATTGCAATCGGCTTTTTTCCCCATGTTAAGTAAGGCAGTTTGAAGTAAGTTTTTTTAAACAACATGAAAAAATATAACAAAAATGCTCTAGTCCAAGGCCAGAACACAGTTTTATATGATCTGCAGATAATTTAGTATTTGAGAAGCCTTTTCAACATTCTCTGACTCCAATGAAAACTAAAGCAAAACTTGGGAGGAAAAAAATAAATAAATAAGCAAATAAAACAGTATCTGTATAATTATCCACAGATCAAACAATTTAGGGACAATAAAATAGGGCAACATTTCAGCTAGGTCAGGTGCAAAATAATGGAACAACTATTCACTGTTTATTCATATTTCACACATTCACTAACAACAAAAATTCTGGCTAGTTTTACTGTTAATATATTTGGGATGATTGCTTTATTAGTCAAAGGACTTAAAATCCATTTTGTGTAAGTTGAATAGTTAGGGCATCATAGATATAGGATAATCAGCCTTCTTGGTTTGCTCTAGCCCTCCTTCCTCCACAAACAAACTATTAGGTCCACATTTTGAGCCTTTGAAAGAGTAGAAAAAATGCCATGCTGTAGATGCAGAGAGGATATCATGGGACTTTGTCTGCCCTGCTTCTGATGCCAGGAGGCACTTTATTGTAGAGAACTGAGCCTCCTGTATGCCAATCCTGACCCTAACCTTTGCTGCCAATCAGAGCCACTGCTCGCACAGGTTGGCTCCAGACCTGGCTGGTTCCATCACAGTTCTCAGCACTCCTGAGATCGCATTTCATGCAGCCACAGACTTGTTATCCAGGTGCGGCCAACGTGAGCTCTTCCCTAAAACCCTCCTCCCTGAAGGCCTTTAAGGAGTGAAACAGCAAAGAAAAAACAACAACAACAAAAATGAAGCCCAGAACTCGAATCTCAGGGAAGATGGCAGCCCCAGAGTATGAATCCACCATGCAGAGATGAGCCTGGGGAAGAGTGGTGAGGGAAGCTTCTGATGATGGTCAAGGCCTGGGGGCCCACTCTCCCAATGCCAGCTGCATCTCTGACCTCCTTATACTATGGTTATAAACATCAATACATTACCCTGTAAGCTTAAACTAGTTTGAGTTGGTGTCTGTTATTTTTATTCAAGGATTCCTGACTAATGCATCTGGTAACCACTTGATTTGGGGCATACTCAATCGTGGTGAACTTACTGGGCTCTTTCCAGTGTCTATTCTCAGGACACTGCCTTCACATCCTACAGGGGTGGTTCCCAGGTTGCATTTCTGCTCTGTGACCTGTCCCCCTGCCAAGGCTCACTGGTCCAAGGGTAGTGCTGGATGCAACCGAAGTCTCACCTCCATATGTTAGAGTTTTCATCTGAGAGAAGAGTTGTTGGGAGCTGGGATAAATGAATGGTGGCACTCCAAAGGGAAGGTGATGACACTCCTCAGAGCCACTCTGCTTCTGGTCCCTCCTGAGGCTTGCTTTTTTGACAGCTTCCTGAGCTCCGCGAGCTACCCCAGTCCTTCCAAGACATTCTATCTTCCCTCCTTTCCCTCTTTCTCTCTCTCTTTTCCTTCAGCTGGATGCAATTGGTTTAGTCCTCAAACCAAGAGAACATGAAATTATACACCAAAAAACTGTTCTTGTAAATTATCACTTCATGTAGAATGCCTTTCACCATGGGAAAATGTAAGACCTCAGGTAAAACTGGCTTCAGCAATAAGGAACCGTGCTTTACCTTGAGTGGTGAGCCCAGAGGTAGGGTGGCCCCAGGGGTGGTACAGTCACTCAGTGATGTCACTCAGTGATGTCACTCAGGGATGTCACTGGGGCCCCCGTGTTTTATTTCCATGCTTTGGCATGGACAGTAATGATTTCCCTCAAAGGCTAATTCCCCAAACATTCCCAAATGGCTGCTGCTCACAAATGGGGCAGTGTCATTACTCACATCCAGCAAGAGATAGAGAAACTTCTCCTCCATGCATGGAATAGCATAATCAGATTTGGAAATAATTTCCTAGCAGTGGTGTAAGAACAGCTGTGAGGCATATTTAAGAGCCAGAACGGATTCAGCTTGGTGACTACCTGACTGATGGAGGTGTGGGAAGGGAGGAGCTAGGGTGTTGCCCATGTTTCTTGTTTGGGCATCTTGGTAGACAGGGACGCCCTCCCTGGGGTGGGGCCAGATCTGGTTTGGTGAGGATGATGACACAACTGTGCAGGTTTAATGCCTCCCCATGCTTCACTTGGGCCTGCCCAGGAGACTAGCTGGAGCCTGTCATCAAAACCTTGACAGGGGCACCAAACCACATCTGACAAGAAGTGACTTCTTAAGAGGTGGGATAAGCAAATTATTTCTCTCCCTGAATTGCTCTCCTGCTTATGCAGAGAGAGCCGTTTCTTTTTTTTCTTTTTCTTTTTCCTTCTTTTTTTTTTTTTTTTTTTTTTTTTTGAGACAGAGTTTCACTCTTGTTGCCCAGGCTGGAGTGCAATGGCGTGATCTCACCTCACTGCAAACCCCACCTCCTGGGTTCAAGCAATTCTCCTGCCTCAACCTCCCAAGTAGCTGGGATTATAGGCATGTGCCACCATGTCTGGCTCATTTTTTGTAGTTTTAGTAGAGATGGGGTTTCTCCGTGTTGGTCAGGCTGGTCTTGAACTCCCGACCTCAGGTGATCCACCTGCCTTGGCCTCCCGAAGTGCTGAGATTACAGGCATGGGCCACCGCGCCCAGCCTAGACAGAGCCATTTCTATGAAGTAGGCAGCCACCTGAATGATGTACTTAAATGCCCTAAGCATCAAAGCTGTGTGCAATCAGAGTGGTTCATATGGACGCGGGGTGCCTAAAGATTCTCTCTCTATACCTTCCAACCCAGTTTTGTTCAGGGGCACGCCCATATCTAGCATGAAAGACAGACCATTAGTCCAATCAATGACTCTCAACCCCGGTGGCACATTAAAATCAACCAGGGAGTTTAAAAAAACACCAAAGCCCAGGACCCACCTCCATATATCTATTAATATGTCTACACGCACACATAACATAAAATTCACCACCTTAACCATTTTAAAGTATCCAGTGGTATTAACAGGATTTATGTTGTTGTGTAACCATCATCATCATCCAATTTCAAAATGCCTTTCATCTTACTAAACTGAAACTCTCTACACAATAAATAATAACTCCCCATTCCTCCCTGTCTCCCCAACAGCCGCTGGCAACCACCATTCTACTTTTGGTCTCTATGAATTTGATTACTCTAGGTACCTGATGTAAGTGGAATCTTATAAGATTTCCTTTTCCGACTGGCTTATCTCACTTAACATAATGTCTTCGAGGCTCATCCATGTTGTAGCAGGTGTCAGAATCCCCCTCCCTTTTAAGACTGAATAATACTCCATCATATGTGGACAGGCACACCTCATTTTACTGTGCTTCCCTTGACTGCACTTTGCAGATACTGCGTTTTCTAGACATGGAAGTTTTGTGGTAATACTCTATCCAGCAAGTCTACCAGTGCCGCTTTTCCAACGGCCTGAGCTCATTTTGCATCTCTGTGTTCTCTCGCTTTCCTCTGGCCTCCCTATGCTCTGAGACACAACAATATGAAATTAGGCCAATTAATAACCCTAATAACCTCTCAGTGTTCAAATGGAAGAAGAGTCACATGTCTCTCACTTTATTTATTATTTATTTATTTATTTATTTTAGAGACTGGATCTCATTCTGTCACCCAGGCTGGAGTGCAGTCGTACAAGCATAGCTCACTACAGCCTCCAACTCCTGGGCTCAAGCAAACCTCTCTCCTCAGACTCTCAAAGCACTGGGATTCCAGGTGAGCCACTGCACCTGGCTGTCATCTCTTACTTTAAATCAAAAGGTAGAAATGATTCAGCTTAGTGAGGAAGGCATTTCAAAAACTGAGATAGGCCAAAAGCTAAGCCTCTTGTGCCAAACAGCCATATTGAGAATGGAATGGAAAAGTTCTTGAAGGCAATTAAAAGTGCTACTCCAATGAATACATGAATGATAAGAAAATTAAACAGCCTTATTATAGAGAAAGTTTGAGTGGCCTGGTTAGAAGATCAAACCAGTCACAACATTCCCTCAAGCCAAAGTCTAATCCAGAGCAAAACCCTAACTCTCTTTAGCTCTATGATGACTGAGAGGTGAGGAAGCTGCAGAAAAAAAGTTTGACACTAGCGGAATTTGGTTCATGAGGTTTGAGGAAAGAAGCCGTGTTTAAAACGTAACTGTGCAAGGTGAAGCAGCAAGTTCTGATAGAGAAGCTATAGCTAGTTATCCAGAAGACCTAGGTAAGGTCATTGATGAAGGTGGCTATGTTACACAACAGCTTTTCAATGTAGATAAAACAGCATCACATTGGAAGAAGATGCCATCTAGGACTTGCACAGCTAGAGAGAAGTCAATGTCTGGCTTCAACACTTCAAAGGACGGCTAATGCTCTTGTTAGGAGTTAATGCAGCTGGTGACTTTAAGGTGAAACTAATGGCCATTTTCCATTCTGAAAATTCTAGGGCCCTTAAGAATTATGCTAAATCTACTCTGCCTGTGCAGTAGAAATGAAATAACAAAGTCTAGGTGACAGCACATCTGTTCGCAGCACAATTTACTGAATATTTTAAGCCCATTGTTTTGACCTACTGCTCAGAGCAAAAGATTCCTTTCAAAATATTATTGCTAATGGACAATCCACCTGGTCACCCAAGATGGCAATGTACAGGATGTACAAGATTCATGTTGTTTTCATGCCTGCTAAACACAACATCCACTCCACAGCCCAGGGATCAAGGAGTCATTGCTACTTTCAATTCTTACTTTTTAAGAAACACATTTTGTAAGGCTGTAGCTACCATAGATTGTGATTCCTCTGATAGATCTGGACAAAGTAAATTGAAAACTTTCTGGAAAGGATTCATCACTCTAGATGCCATTAAGAACATTTGTGATTCATGTTCTTGGGAGGAGGTCAAGCTATCAACATTAACAGGGGTTTGGGAGATATTGATTCCAACACTTATGGATAACTTTGAGGGGGTTATGACTTCAGCGGAGGAAGTAACTGCAGATATGATTAAAATAGCAAGAGGCCGGGCACAGTGGCTCATGCCTGTAATCACAGCACTTTGGGAGACCAGGGTGGATGGATCAGTTTATGTCAGGAGTTCAAGACCCGCCTGGCCAACATGGTGAAACCTTGCTTCTACTAAAAATACAAAGATTAGCTGGGTATGGCAGTGCATGCCTGTAGTCCCAGCTACTTGGGAGGCTGAGGCAGGACAATGGCTTGAACCCGGGAGGCGGAGGTTGCAGTGAGTAAAGATCACGCCGTTGCACTCCAGCTTGGGTGACAGAGTGAGACTCTGTCTCAAAAAAATAAAAAAATAAAAAAAATAGCAAGAGAACTAGAATTAGATGTGGAGCCTGAAGATGTGACTGAATTGCTGCAATCTCACGATAAAACTTGAATGGATGAAGAGTTGCTTTTTATGGAAAAACAAAGAAAGTAATCTTTTCAGATGGAATCTACTCCGGGTGAAGATGCTGTGAACATTGTTAAAATGACAAGAAAGGACAGAATATTACATAAACGTTGTGGATAAAGCAATTGCAGGGTTTGAGAGGATTGACTCTAATTTTGAAAGTTCTACTCCAGGTAAAAGACTATCAAATATCATCACATGGTTTGGCGTATGTAAAGGGGAGAAAAATAAGAAAAAAAAAAAAAAACAGCATTGGCATTCTACAAAGAAATCTTTCCTAAAAGGAAGAGTCCATTGATGCGACAAACTTCATTGTTGTCTATTTTAAGAAACAGGGCATGGTGGCTGACGCCTGTAATCCCAGCACTTTGTGAGGCTGAGGTGGTATGATTGCTTGAGCCCAGGAATTTGAGACAAGCCTGGGCAATATAGTGAGACACCGTCTCTACTAAAAATACGAAAATTAGCTAGATGTGGTGGTGCATGCCTGTAGTCCCAGCTACTCAGGAGGCTGAGGTATGAGAATTGCTTGAATCTGGAAGGCAGACATTGCAGTGAGCCAAGATCTCACCACTGCACTCCAGCCTGGGTGACAGACTGAGATGTTTCAAAAACAAAAACAAAAACAAAACTTGCCACAGCCACTCCACCCTTGAGCAATCACCACCCTAATCAGTTAGCAGCCATCAACACCGAGCCAGACCCTCCACCAGCAAAAACATTATGACTCACAGAAGGCCCAGATAATTGTTAGCATTTTTAGCAAAAAATTATTTCTAAATTAAGATATTATGTGTACACTGCTTTTTTAAAGACATAATGCAATTGCACACTTACAGACAACAGAATAGTGTAAACATTTTTATATGCACTGAGAGACAAAAAAAATTGTGTGACTTGCTTGTGATATTCACTTGATTGTGATGGTTTGGAACTGAACCCGCAATGACTCTGAGTTAGGCCTGGATGTCACACTATACTTATCCATTCTGTCAGCGAACACTTGGGCCCACCTTTAGGCTATTGTGAATAAGGCTTCTCTGAACATGGGGGTGCAAATATCTTCAGAGAGATTTTTTAAGAAGCTTCCTGTGGGGTTTGAATATGTAGCTAGCGTTGAGAGCCATTATAAAAGACATTCCCTAGAGATTGTGAGGGGCCCAGGGAAGGGGCAGGCTACCATAGTTGGCTCAATCTGCTATTCCATCCTAACTATATCATCATGTCAGGTAATCAGCAGTGTAGACATCTGTCTCCTTGAGTAGACTTGGGACACCTGAGGGGCGGGGTAGGTTTCTTTACCACAAGAGCTCCCAGATCTAGTTCCAAGCCCAGGGGCCTGTAGGAGCTGATTAAGTTGCTGCTGAATAAAGACTACTAATCCATAATTCTACCTTATCCTACTATTAAAACCAACTGTTCCCTTCTACCAGAAATTACTCATCATTGCACCGTAGGCCATTCTCTGGTCCTGTAGCCTGACTGGTACCTGGGCCTGAGCCTGAGTCAGGGTCTAAGATCTTTATGAAATAAAATTATGAGCATGAAAGAAGCCCTGGGTCCTCACAGAACAGATGGGGCTGGGGACAGTGGTTGCTGTGGCCTCTTGCTCCAGCTTCTTCTGGGACAAATGCTCCCAAAAGGAGGGTGGTACCCATTCCTTGCATCTGGATGAGAGGCTTAATCTATCTTCACCTAAATATCTGCTTACTGTCCCCACAACTCACCTTAAAAAGAAAAGGCTGTAGCTGTGTTTCTATTGAGGTGGGTTTTGTGTACTCTTTATTCATCTCTGTAGCTCCACATGCTTGTGCTTACTTTCATTTTAACTTTAACCCAAGTTCTCAAGATCATTCTTTTTTAAATTTTACTTTAAGTCCTGAGATACATGTACAGAATGTACAGGTCTGTTACACAGGTATACGTGTGCCACGGTGGTTTGCTGCACCTACTGACCATCCTCTAAGTTCCCTCCCCTCACCCCCTACCTCCCAACAGGCCCTGGTGTGTGTTGTTCCCCTCCCTGTGTCCATGTGTTCTCATTGTTCAACTCCTATGTATGAGTGAGAACATGTGTGTTAGGTTTTCTGTTCCTGTGTTAGTTTGCTGAGGACGATGGCTTCCAGCTTCATCCAAGTCTCTGCAAAGGACATGCTCTCATTCCTTTTCATGGCTGCATAGTATTCCATGATGTATATGTACCATATTTTCTTTATCCAGTCTATTAATACCAAGATCATTTTTTATTAAAGCCTACAGAAATTAAACAGTAGCCCCAGATAAAAAGAGATGCCAGAGAACCCAAGAGTTCTTCATTCCATATTAATGTCCATGAACATATTTGGAGAGAACCTCTTTGTAACACGAAGCAGCAGTGTAGCAAATTGAGAATGCCCTCCTCCCTTCCTTCCCTCCATCTTAGAAGCCACCAGTGTGGTGTGACGTGGGATGGGGACAGCAAGAATGTGCCTTGGAAGGTAAAATTACAGGACTGGCCCTTCATTGCTCCTTTCTTATGTCCAAGATCTGAGGTCCACCTTCACCCAGACAGCACCCAGGTCAGGGCTAGGCTGAGGTGAAGCTGGTGAGGCATAGCATGCAAATACAAGGTCAGATCTTGTCTTCACTTAAAATTTGACTATTTAGCTCATCATGGGGTTTTGTGGCATGAATTTTGATTTTTTAAAAAACTGCATTCAAATTATTTATCTTGATTCCTGAGATTTTTAGCACGCCTTAAAGTTGGAGACTTGCCTGCCTCTTCTGAGGCCTGGCCTTGAGTCGGTTACTACCAGCACCTTCCTTTGCATTTTAAGAGGAAAGCATAATGTTGCTCTCTGATAGATCCTTGGGAAGCCGTAAACCCCCTTCTCTGAGTTACTTCGGCCTCTGTTCCTTTTGACAAACGATCTCCCCAATCTGTTCACTTTGTGGCTTCTGCCCTTCTGCCCCCTCCCTTCCATGTTTCCCATAAAAAACCCACACCAGGGACCAGGGAGAGAAGCAAGAAGGCCCGTGTGGGGCGTGGGCCTTTCCCTCCCAGGTTTTTTGCTAACTTAACTTTAGAGCTTCAGAATTGAGATAAACACATAATGAGCAAGTGCCCGTTTCTTTTTAAAGAAATCTTTCTTGTACCCATTACGATGATAAATAGCGCCCCTGTGGTCAACCACGGCCAGTCTTACACTCTGGAACTTCAAGGCAGCCGTGGGAAATTGAATTCTCAAGGACTTTAACTGTACCAATCATGGCGGCCCTGGAAAATATTTCTAATATGGTAAAAGGGTGGATGGACTTTTAGATGCAGATGGGACTCTGTGTTCCCACCACTGCCTCCAGCCTAAAACAGTATGGAAGGAAGCAAAGCCATGATTCCCGGCTCCTCTGACCTGGTGGGACGCTTACCTTGCAAGGGCACTGGAGATCTCTGATTTCAGGCCCCTCTCTGTGAAGACCTAAGTGGGGAACTGCGACTACTCACTTGTGTCTATGAGCCTGGGGGCTTTTCCTGCACTGCTTGCTGCACCGTCAGTAAACCGATGTGAATATAAATGACCGGAGTCTCCAACGCTGTTCTAGCCCATTTCCAAAATCTTGAGGGTTCAGCGTGGCTCAGCCTCATTGATATTACCTTAATGTTTCATTATTGTTATCGTACATGCACCCGAACATAATAATTACTTAATGCATTGGTATGATGAGAAATATAATTACATATGCAAATAATTTTATAAATAAGTAGTATGAGAAACATATTGACACAGTGACCACAATATCATTCAAACAATCGCCACAAGACCTGACCACAAAGTCTTACCAGGACCGTATGCATCCCAGTGTAGAGCCTGCTGAGACACACCAAGGTGGAAAACACCACGGCCATCACCAGTCCCAACACAAATGGATACTGTGGGGTAAGGAGAAAAAACAAGGGAATTAGATCACACTCAGACATATGATTTCATGTCATAGGTGGGAATAGGGTTCATTAATGCAAGAATTGCTAGTCCAAATCTTGCATTCCCCAGACCAGCAATCTGATTATCTAAAAACGTTTTCTAAACGGGGAGACAGAAGAAAGAGAAGGGGAAGATACCGAGGTATACAGTTCTGGGAGGAAGTTTCCAACATATAAGCATGCACATGAGACGTAGTAGGACTTGGCTTTAAGACTCATGACCACAACTACAGTGCTGGCAGTTTTAGTGAAATGAATAACTTTGATTTCTACCTATTCTTAAATCAGAGCGACAAGAAACAAACAATTTGACCAAGAAGCAAGGTAGATAGATAGCCAGGGCTATAATCTGAAAATCCCAACAAGCAACTTCTCCTCCTCTGTGGAAGACGCAGGGGCAATGGGACCAAAGTAAGAATCGGCATATTTGCATCCAGATGTCAAAAGCACTTGTGCAGATTCTACTGACTCTCAACATTTGATGCTGAGTAATACTAGCGGCTGGAGAAATCTGGCTAATGCTGAATCATATAAGGAACACACAGATACTCTGCTTATAAACTAGACATAGGCATGTAATCCACCTGCTTCAAGCACTAGTGTCTGTGGTATTCCGTAGTAAGATCCAAGACAATAGAGCACTGTCTGTATTAGGCAAAGCACTTTATCCTATCTCCCTTAGTCTTCACATAACCCTATGAAATAGGCTCGGTTATTAGCCCCATTTCACAAATGAGGAAGCCCTTAACCATGATAATAAATGACATTGTTAATAAACTTTATCACAAAGGCACTTTCCCCTCAGTGCTCCCATTTGACCCTCACAACAAGAGCTTGGGGTTCAGAGAAGTGAAATGATCTGCCTGAAGTCACACAGCCAGTAAGTGAGAGTCAGAACTGCAGGCCATGCCTTCTGAGTCCAAGCCCAGTGTGTTCTTTCCCATGTAACACGTGAGTACCATAACACCTGGTTGTCATGTCTGTTCTTAAGGTTTATCATTAACTAAGTCTCAGATTTTAATTTAAAAGTGTTAAGAATTAATGAGTTAATATATTTGGAAATTAGGGTGTGGGCAGTAGCCTCAACACACATTTAAAAAATTTTATTTCAATAGTTTTTGGGTTACTCAACACACATAAACCAATATATATGTAAATAAATATATAAAAATAAACCAATACATATAAAATATATAAATAAACCAATATTTAGAGCTGTTTATGAGCAAACAACTCAGCTAGCTAAATACATTCACCATTAAAAATCAAATAGGAAAGAAATTCACAACATGACTCCGATCTTATGAAAACTGCTACATCATGTAAGTTGACAAGAATTTTTTAAGGAGGACTTGGCAGCTCTGCAATGGATGTGTCTGTGGTGATAGTGGTGGTTTTGCTGCTGTGAGCCTCCACTTGCTGCTTTTCTCTTAAGTGACATTACCATGTTCTTAGACTTCTCTGGGCACCAAGAGCAACCCAATGGGAGCTGGTGCTTGGCCCACTATGTCCTTCTAGGGCAGCTGACATTGGGTACAACATGGCTCAGCAGCCTGCACTAAGTTAATTCAGACAGTGCTGAGGGCTCAGACATTGTTTGACCTTGGCATGACATTTAAGTAACTTATGACAAAAGATGATATCTAGTCAAATATATTCCTTGTAACTGTCCCTTTCTTATGTAAGAGAGGTCTAAACCCAGATGACCAGGTAGAAGGCTACAGCAGTAGAGCTGGGACCCAACACTAGTCCTGGTCTTTCCAGCTACATGAAGCTTGACTTCCTGCTTCTGCATAACCTGGAATGTGGAACATCTCTGGTCTTCTGGGGTAAAGGGACAGGGAAAAACAATGCTGCCATTTATCTACAAGACTGCTAGATTTAACGGAATCTAAAACTTCCAGTGGGGCTGGGTGCAGTGGCTCATGCCTGTAATCCCAGTGCTGTGGGAAGCCCAGGCAGGCAGATTGCTTGAGGCCAGGAGTTCAAGACCAGCCTGGGCAACACAGCGAGATCCCTTCACTATAAAAAATTTTTAAAAATTAGCTGGGTGTAGTGGTGCATAGCTGTGGTCTCAGCTACTTGAGAAGCTGAGATGGGAGGATTGCTTGAGCCCAGAAGGTCAACACTGCAGTGAGCGCTGATGGTGCCACTGTACTCCAGCCCTAGCAACAGAGACCCTGTCTCAAAAACAAACAAATAAACAAACAAACAAATAAAACTTCCAAGGGGTAAAAGATAACACTTATAAAATTAAACAGAGGATTAGAGCCATAGGTCTCAAATAGGAAAAATAACTTCATTGCTGTAATAATGTAACCTTTTAAGTCTTACTATAATTGGCATTTAAGTAGATATTAAGTAAAATTCTTCTATTTTCAGCATTTAGTAATCCTCTGCCATTTAGAACATTCTAGAAAACTTCGAGCCATCGTTTCTAGTGGCTGAGCCTTAACCAGGGCAGAGACATCCTTAGAGGCTAATTTGAGTCACAGACTCTTTGCTGCCCCAGGCCCCGGGGAGTCTGGCAGAGGGATTTGGTAGAATCATCTCAGCCCTGGAGAATCATTTACTAGGACATAAACTCCTCTTGCAAACAGAGGATGAGAACACTAATTCAAGCACTGTCTCGTCAGGCAGCCCAGGGTGATAATACATGCTGGTCTCCGGGGATGGTCCATATTATGCTAGTTGTCCTGGTGTCATATATTAACGGTGCTGATGTTCACACTCAGGCACAACCTGATTTAGATGCTAAATTATATGGTCACTTTATTTATGATGCAATTGTCATCTGCTTAATAGGTTTCAGTTTCTCTTAATCTTTATTTCATAAACCTTAAGGTCCCTCAAAGCAGCTTTAAGAGAAAATTCAGAAGTGCAGCCTCTATTTGCTGCCACAGTAGATGGGTAGGAAGAAGAACGAGGCCACCTTACCTGGTATCTGTCCATAGTAGAGATAAGGAGGGTGAAGGCGATGGCGGTGGCCGCCATGGCGTGGGTGGATGGCATTCCATATTCAGCAATCAGTCTCTTTTCCAGTTTCACAACTGGAGGGGAGGAGGGACGGGGCCACTTCAAGATATCCTTGGCCACTTGGCCAATATACATCACCAACTGCAAAACCAAAAGACCGAGGTAAGTCTAATCAAATAAGGAAAATGAATGCATTTCCAAGCGTCATGTATATATTTTGGGGTTCTCAGGTTGTTGGCTGAAAGCTCCTTTCTCTCTGACCAGCTACTTGTTGGCAAAGTCTTGTGGGATGTTTTAGTTGGTAAAAAGAGAACAGGCTTTCTGGATTCCATAGGACCACTGAGCAACTAAGATATGACATTAATGCAATATATTATTTATTTTAATCATATATTTAACAAACACTTATGTAGCTTATATAAGTGCTGGGCACTGTTCTAGGAGCTTTGCAGATTTTCACTCAATCCAGTAACACCTGGAGAATGCAGACCAATTTTACAGATGAGTACACCATTGCGCACTCATCCACAGGCACACAGTCAGCAAGTGGCAGAACTGGGATTAGAATCTAGAAAGTCTGACTTCAAAGTCTGTACTCAAACTATCATATGATGCTACCTCCAAAACAGGATGGTGCTGCGCTAAAGATAACCTAATACTCAAACTAGGAAGTGCTTGTTTTCAAATTGTAACACAAAAGCAACTGTTCTTACTGGAACAGCTAGTAACATACTTTTTGAATGCCACTGTTGTATGTAGGCAACATACTGGATTTACTGTAACTTCTTTAATAATCAGGAGCATCAGTCAAATAAATGGCATGGGTATTTTCAGTCTTTAAAGACTCAGGTTGGGTGCGTGGCTAATGCTTGTAATCCCAACACTCTGGGAGGCCAAGGCGGGAGGACAGCTTGAGCCCAGGAGTTCAAGGCAAGCCTGGGCAAGATGGTGAGACCCTGTCTCTACAGAAAATTTAAAAATTTGTCAGGTGCGCATGGAATACTATGCAGCCATAAAAAAGGATGAGTTCATGTCCTTTGTAGGGACATGGATGAAGCTGGAAACCACCATTCTCGGCAAACTATTGCAAGGTCAAAAAACCAAACACCGCATGTTCTCACTCATAGGTGGGAACTGAACAATGAGAACACTTGCACACAGGGTGGGGAACATCACACACCAAGGCCTGTCTTGGGGTGTGGGGAGGGAGGAGGGATAGCATTAGGAGATATACCTAATGTAAATGACGAGTTAATGGGTGCAGCATACCAACATGGCACATGTATACATATGTAACAAAACTGCATGTTGTGCGCATGTACCCTAGAATTTAAAGTATAATAATAAAAAAAAATGTTAAAAAAAGTTGTCTGGTGTGATGGTGTATGTCTGTGGAACCAGCTACTTGAGAGGCTGAGGTGGGAGGATTGCTTGAGACCAGGAAGTTGAGGCTGCAGATCCAGATTAGGGCCACTGCACTGTAGCCTGGGCAACAGAGCAAGACCCTGTCTCAAAAAAAAAGGGCTCGATATGGAGGGTTTTTGTTTGTTTGTTTGTTTGTTTTATGGAGTCTCACTCTGTTGCCCAGGCTGGAATGCACAATGTACCCAGCACACTGCAACCTCCGCCTCTTGGATTCAAGCGATTCTCTTGCCTCAGACTCCTGACTAGCTGGGATTACAGATGTCTGCCACCATGCCTGGCTAATTTTTGTGTTTTTGTAGAGACAGGGTTTCACCATGTTGGTCAAGCTGGTCTTGAACTCCTGACCTCAGGTGATCCGCCTGCCTCAGCCTCCCAAAGTGCTGGGATTACAGACATGAGCTGCCATGCCTGGCCTAATATGGAGATTTTTTAAATGATTTTTCCATGAGGTCATTAACGAAGAAATATTCTCCCTCCTTTTTTTAAAGCAGAAGATAGAAATGAGAATTTGATGTACATGAACAGTTCTCAAAAGAAGACATGCAAGTGTTCATATCTACTGAAAAAAAGACATGGAAAAATGCTCAGCATCACTAATTGTCAGAGAAATACAAGTCAAAAACCACGATGAGATACCACCTCACACCAGTCAGAATCGCTATTATTAAAAAGTCAAAAAACAAAAGATGCTAGTGAGGCTGTGGGGAAAGGAAATGCTTATACACTGCTGGTGGGAATGTAAATTAGTTCAGTCACGGTGGAAAGCAGTTTGGAGATTTCTCAGAGAACTTAAATCAGAGCTACTGTTCGACTCAGTAATCCCATTACTGAGTATATACCCAAAGGAAAGTAGATCATTATACCAAAAAGACACATATGCTCATCTGTTCATTGCAGCAGTATTCACGACAGCAAAGACATAGAATCCACCTAGGTGCCTATCAATAGTGGACTAGATAAAGAAAATGTGGTACACGTACACTATGGAATACTACACAGCCATAAAAAAGAACAAAATCATGTCCTTGCAACAACATGGATGGAGCTGGAAGTCAAAATACTAAGCAAATTATTTCAGGAACAGAAAACCAAATACCACATGTTCTCACTTAAAACTATGAGCTAAATATTGAGTGCACAACGACATAAACATGGGAACAACAGACACTGTGGACCACTAGAGGGGGAGGGAGTAGGTTGAAAAACTATTGTTTATTATGCTCACTCCCTGGGTGCACTATACCCCGTGACAAACCTGCACATGTATTCCCCATATCTAAAATAAAAGTTGATTTAAAAAAAAAAAAAGAATTAGATGCCCACACCCTTTAAAAGTGAATAGGATTATTAACAACAGACTTGTTTATTTTGTCAAGGAGTGAATAGGATTATTAACAACAGACTAATTTATCTTGTCAAAGAAATTTACAGGACAACTTCATAATCTAATATGTAAGAGCAATGTATTTACCTAAGTACCTGCCTTTGCAACTTAAAGCATTGTCTGAGAACTGGCTGTACCAGCCCCACCCAGGAGCTGCTTTAACATGCATCATCTCAGGACCCTCCTTAGAATCTCTGTTTTCACAAGATTGCCAGGCGATTGGTGTGCACAGGGGAATTTAAGAAGCACTGCGCTATACAGTCCTTTTGTACAAATCACTTTGTTGTGGGCTTTAATCATAAAACGTATCTTACCAGGACTGTGTTGATCTTACCAGGACTGTGTTGATCTTACCAGGGTTTTATTTAGCTCGTGATGGATGGCATTACCTTGCTTGGAACAAAACCCACTATGAAGAGCTATTTCAAAATAATTTTGATTAGTCAACTGGATTGCTGTAGGAGTTCCCACATTCTAGTGTTTTCTTTTAACTCCTTGAGTTGCCGGTTAATTCCATGCATAATTCCAGCAAACCCAGTCACCACCCCCCCACCCCCAGAAGGTCTTGCATATGTGTTTGTGCTTCACTGCCACTTTGCTCTGGGCTAGAAACCAAGAACCACTCCCTGTGCACAGCAGGCCAAATCCACAGGCTATAAAGCCTCAGCGACAATTACTCTGAATTCCGTAGCTGCAATTTCCAATTGGACTTTGAAACTTAACTTCTTTACCATTCACTTAACCACCAGGAACTACTCTTCCTGGAAATCAGCTCACTCTTTTTGTTTCTGCCTCCCTCCTGTGAACCTGTAAAAACCACATCTAACTGACCATTATCTGGGGAGCTGAAAATCTGGCAGGTATTACCGACTACTGGGAATTTCTCAGAAGCTGCTTGAAATATACTTCTCAGTCCTACTTCTTCCTCACCCACCAACATAAACAAAATATTATAGGCATAACTACTAATCCCAGTTCCCTCAAAAATACTTAACATTTTCACACCCTAACATAGAGGATAAGGGTAAAAATATATTTAAAATCCTCCAAAACAGGAAACCTTGAAATCATAAAAATAATGATTGGGTGACTCTCCTTCAGATAAAGTTTAATTTCTTTGAGGTTCATGAGTTCCTTTGTCTTCATTTATATTTCACCTTCTACGTTTGAAAGTTTTGTGGAATTAGGAAAATTATTCATTTTATTTAAAAATACTACAGTTGCATATTATGTCTCATTAATAAGTTTCAAATAACACTGACTGTGATCACAGCTCTCTTTAAACAAGAGAAAATAGTTAGAGCTACATTTTTCTTTTTCTTTTTTTTTTTTTTTTTGAGACGGAGTCTTGCTCTGTCGCCCAGGCTGGAGTGCAGTGGCCGGATCTCAGCTCGCTGCAAGCTCCGCCTTCCGGATTCACGCCATTCTCCTGCCTCAGCCTCCCGAGTAGCTGGAACTACAGGCACCCGCCACCTTGCCCGGCTAGTTTTTTTATATTTTTTAGTAGAGATGGGGTTTCACTGTGTTAGCCAGGATGGTCTCGATCTCCTGACCTTGTGATCCGCCCGTCTCGGCCTCCCAAAGTGCTTGGATTACAGGCTTGAGCCACCGCGCCCGGCCAGAGCTACATTTTTCAAGTTGCAGAGGAAAAGTATCACTCTCAGAAGGTTGCATCCTGTCTCTGGCATTGCCGTTTGTGACAATGATGCTATGATGAGCCAAGCCTTGCATTCAGTCCCAATCCTTGAGTAGGGAAAACAGTAACACAGTAAGAAGATTTCAGAGGATAATGTGAAAAGGCTTTGAAAAACAATCCACAGAATTCTATGAGTAGGTGTGTGTGTATATATATATATATGTGTATATATATAGAAAAACTCTGGTTCAACTGGATGGCCAGGGAACCTGGGGCTGGCTAAAGTGATATAGGACACAGGATGTGCGACAGGCGTGTGGCTCGTCTGTTTGGCTGCAGCTGCTGCTCAAACCCCTTAAGGGAGGAGAAGCACGCAGACGAGCAGGGTGCAGGGAGCCCAGGCAAGTGCTCTTGGGGCTCTGGTCCCAGGTTAGGAGTCTAGGGATGTGTGTCTGCAACTCTCAAAGCCCCAGTGGGTATGCTACAGTGCTCTTTTAGCTCTGCCGTCACTGACAGCTTAAGTGTTAACCAGCTCAGTGCCATCTTGGTACCCGGGTTCTTGTCCAGCGTGCAGGAAGGATCAGGTCACACATGGACTTGATGGATCGTGAATACAGGGGTTTTATTGAGTGGTGGAGGTGGCTCTCAGTGGAATGGATGGCGAGTTGGAAGGGGGATGGAGTGGGAAAATGATCT